GGGGGGGGGGGGGGGGGGGGGGGGGGAGTGAATGGGAAAGATGCACCTATTTGTGTAACACATCAGTGTATGCGTGTACACAGTCATCTCGAAACATATGACATCATCAAAAAAAAAGTACCGGTTTGCTTATCAAGTGTGGTGCGGAACTGATTTACAGGTGGTGGAATCTTCAGGCGTTTCATCAAAACAGCTCTCTGACGCTGCAGGCGCACGTATTTCGGCCATCGCACAAATCGTGTTAGATCACGCTTCGGTTGTATATCTTGGCCTGAAAAACCGATAAATCCGGTTTTTTCTGACAAATTCCCTTCATGAAGCTTTGATTTCATATGTATTTCATCACATAAAAACGAATCCTACATGAATCTCATGATTAAACGAATGTTTTCGAAATTTTGGAGATATAAACAGTAAATATCCCTGGCCAGGAGACTGAAAGAGGACGGGAGAACCCGAAATCGCGTCTATTTGTTAACAGATGCAGTTTGTTTGGCGTTACTGGCCCACCATCGTGGTGGAGAGGAGAACACAATTGAATTTTGATAATTAGTGAAAACACACTGGAAGTGCCCCTTAGATACCATTTCACACGATTATATAAGTCGATTCTTTCCGAAATTTTGTTCAGGCACCTTCATTTCTGGATGCCACAAAACCTTCTTAAGGGAATCATGAGAATCAACTCGAGGAAAATGAGGAACGGGACTAACCGATTCCGAAATTACGTGAACGTTTCTCGAACAACGGATTCTGCTCCTTCTTTGGTACCTCAGCTTTTCGTGCCAGCGGTGGCGCTGGCGCAACCTTTTTCTTTATAATCTTCTTGGAAGGCTGAAAAAAATCACGAATTTGTCCAATGCACATATGGTTGGAGCCTTTAAATGCTATTTACCTGATATTTTTACTTAGTATGTGAAACGGTTCATATTCACAAAATTCTCCAACAGTGTAACCGACAACTATGCCACTGACTTCGATTTTAGACTCCCAACATCCGTAGCATACCGTGCATCATTTGAGTTAGCACAACGGCTCAGTGGCCTACAGCAGTCTTTATGACGTGTCGTGGGTACCAATCGATTACTCATTTGTCCATCTGTTGTCTCTCATCTCTGGCCAAATGGCCAACCGGACTGTGAAAAGGAGGATTTGTCCAGGCTCTGTTCTGTTAAGGTTTTAGCGTTAATCACGACCATTCATCTATCGGGCCTTTTCTCTCTAGCAAATTGCCGACATTGCTGGTGAGGCAGATTCCTGAAAGCTAGGTAGGCTTCTCGTCCCGATGTATCGGTGTTGCCGGCTTCTGTGCCTTTCTGAACACTTGGCCGTCGGGAACGGCAGAATGAAGCCTTAAAAACCGGGCATCCTCCCCGTCCTCAGGCTTCCTGGAGATCCATTTTTACCCGAACCCAATAGAAATTTACAGCGACCAATAAATATTCTGCCCAAACAACCACAATTATGCCAGGATAACTACTTCTCAAACGGGATCGACCCGAATCGATACGGATTTCTGATGATCAAGTTCCCAGAACTTCGTCTCAAGTCTTCGTTCCTCTTCTGCAGGCCTTGGCCCTTCATGCAACCTCAACTGGTCGATAGCCTCAAAAGGTCCGGCCATAACTGGTAAAAAGGTAGCTGGCCTGTTAAATATTACAGCAATTACGGAAAAATTTTGGCGGATAAAGTACCGTTAGCAGTGCCACGGGACGTAATTACCGCCTGGGGATATTTTTGCGTCTATGTGCCGCTGAGCAAGAAGTACGGGCACGTAAGGGGAGAGGGGGGGGGGAATGCCAGAATACCGCTGAGCAAAGATACCGACACTGCAGGGGAGGGGAGGACCGACGGACAAACGCTGCACACATAGCACTTTTTTTGCGAAAAAAGGACCAGCGAGTACCAAGATCGAAACTGCACCACCTGATGGCTCGCCTTCTGCTGTTAACCTCGGATTCGTCCCCCAGTCCCCGGCCCTTTTTGCGGTAAAATATCGAATGTACCGCATTTTTTGGACCATTTTCGGGATTTTTTTACAGCTCATCCACAACCAGCTCACCATTTTCTGGACTCATCATCGATTAAAAATTCAAGAAAATCGGACAAAATTTTTCGAGGAAAACATAAAATCACATAAAATCCTTGAAAAAAATGAAACTTCACCAAGAAAACCATCAAAAAATCGAAGAAAAATTCGTGAACAACTCACCATCGCAACGAACAACCAGCAAGCTTCCCT